AAGTTCATTGTCAATCAGATGGACGTGAAGTCGGCCTTTCTAAATGGCATATCGCACGAAGAAGCTTTTGTGAAGCAGCCGAAAGGGTTCAAAGACCCCAGTAACCCTAACCATGTCTACAGACTCAAGAAGGCACTATATTGTCTTAAACAAGCACCTCGCGCGTGGATTAAAAGACTTACGATGTACCTTCTAGAGAAGGTGTTCAAGCGAGGGGGAGTTGATCAGACATTCTTTGCCTTGAAAATCAATACTGACTTGTTGGTGGTTCAAATCTATGTAGATGACATCATATTCGGGTCAACCTCGAAAAAAATGGTGAATAACTTTGTCGAGCTTATGTCTTCAGAATTTGAAATGAGTCTGGTAGGTGAACTTTCATACTTTCTCGGTCTTCAAGTGAAGCAAGGTAAAGATGGCATCTCCTTTCACCAAAGTAAATAAGCTAGAAACCTTTTTAAGAGGTTTTGTCTTGAAAATGCTAAAAACCCTCAAACTCCAATGGAGACTCATGTAAAAGTGTTCAATGATGATGAAGGTACATCTGTAGATCAAACACTGTACAGAAGTATGATTGATAGTCTTTTGTATCTTACTGCCTATAGACCTGATATTTGTTTTATTGTTGGACTTTGTGCTAGGTATCAGTCTGCTGCCAATGAATCTCATATGAAGGCAGTCAAGCATATTACCAAATATGTTGGAGGTACATAAGATTATGGCTTATTTTGCTCAGTTGATACGAACCTACATCTTGCAGGTTATTGTGATGTAGACTGAGCTGGAAATATTGATGATAGGAAAAGTACTTCAGGTGACTGTTTCTATATAGGATCAAATTTGGTGTCTTTGTTCTGTAAGAAGCAAAATTGCATCTCACTCTCTACTGTTGAAGCTGAGTACATCGCGACTGGGAGTTGTTGCTCTTAGTTGGTCTGGATGACACAAATCCTTTCTGAGTATGGTTTGAAGGTACATTCGGCTCAACTTTTCTGTGACAACACGAGTGCAATAAATATTTCGAGAAATAATGTCCAACATTCTCGTACCAAACATTATGACATTCGCTATCACTTTATTCGTAATTTGGTGGAAGATGAAACTATTGTGTTGGACCATGTACCTACACAAGATCAACTTGCTGACATTTTCACAAAAGCACTTGATTCAAAACGCTTCTTGTCACTAAAGAAATCCGTAGGAATGTGTGCTATATAATATCTATGCATGAGCGTCAGTTGTATTTGTAAATATATATATATATGTTGTTAGGATTATTTTGCATTTAGGCATAGAGTATGTAGGTTCATCCCACGGAGCTTCCTTGAATAATTTATCGTTGGATTCATCAATTGATGTTTTATGGAATCGAACTAGTCAGTTTGTTTGAGCTCGTCATAATGATCATGTAAAAATACTTATAAGAGCTACTCTCGTGAAAGTAAGCATCGGGCAAATATTACATGAGGTGTTTCCATGATCACCTATAAAAAAAGTTATGTGCTTCACAATAATCGAGGTGTGATAGCTACAAGTAGTCATTTTTGTTGAATGCAAGTTCAGTGGTGAAATAAGGTTGGTCATCTTACATGCCTTCTCAGTATGTTCTAGAAACTTTTTGCGGGATAATTCACACCTCAACTAATGGACTTGACATTGGCGTATAGTTGATGTTAGTAAGTGAATTAGTATGGAAGTTCATAGAACGAAGTAAGTTCATCATGAGTATAGGGGCTGAATTGCGAATGAAAATTTTGTTCTTTGCTAAGAGAAAATGGTGGATGAACTTATATTAATTCCGTATTATATAAAAGTAGGAGTGATAAGGGTTGAGTTGGCGTTGATATCTCTATCATTCTTATTAGTGTCGAGCTTTTAAAAAATATGATTGGGGAAGATTCTTAGATCAATCAGTTATTGTGTCTTTTGATATTGCATAATTGGAAGTATCTTGGTTATTGTGTGATCAATAAATTATTTAGGCATGTGCATAAAATTTCCTATTGTGCTAAATTGTTTTTGGTACTAAAATCTGGCCATTGTTTTTCTGAAACATCATATCGTATATTCATGGTAGCATATGTCATAATTTTGGTAAGTGAATTTTTATTTTTGGAGGGAACGGTTTTTCCATTCTTGCATTAAAGTGTTTCACAAGTTTGAAATTCAAATTTAAAAGTCGAACCGTCCTCTCATATCTGCTCAATGTCTCGATAACCATAATCCTCCTTCCCTATAATATCAATCTCGTCATCTCTCTCTCTCATATCTATCTTCTAAAAATTCTCCCATCTAACCCTAAAATTCCCTAACCTTCCTTTTCCTTGAAAAATCTCTTCTTGAAATCATGTCGAAATCTAAGCAAACTGTCGTGATGCCGTAAAAGGATGTTCAAAAATCCTCTCGCAGGTCTACTAGGAAAAATGGGAGTACAGAGACAACTCCAAACGCACCTTCCAGTATGGCGGCTGAGAACGTGCAACCTTCTGGACAGGACTAAACTAGGGTTTCTCCAAGCCCCAAGAAGTCCTCCACGGCAAAAGTGGTTCACCCCGACGTTGTCGGTGTCAATAAAAAAGTTTGGAAAAGGCTCTCTCTCCATCGCCAAGTCTCTGAAAAAGTGAAAGAAGCTCTCAGCGGCTTCTGCTGGAAAGCCGAAAAAGGCGAAAAAAGTCATCATCTTACCTGAACCTACTACAGTTGTGGTTTCTACTTCAAAGTTTGGTGGCGAGTCATCACCAGATTGTGTTGATGATGGTGACTCGGTGGAAAAAGAAATTGCGAAGTACATCGGTGAACCAGAAAAATCGGACAACAGCGTTGTTGCTGACAATGAACCTTCCCCTGTTGTCGATAAGAAAGCTATTGACGATACCGAAGGTGATGGTCCTGATAGCCCCTTTGTAGTTGTTAATGATTTTTCTCGCCAAATTTTTATTCTCCCTTGTTTGAATCTCGATTTACCGATATATGTTATCAAATGAAATTTCGACCTGAAAGATCGATTGTTGGTGAGAATTTTGAAAAGCTTGGTCTGATTGAACTTTTAAAAAAGGTTGGCTTTAAGAATTTTGTTGTGAATGTTGAAAAGTATTGCCCTCAACTGGTTGGTGAATTTTACTCAAATTTGTTTGTCTCCATCTCTAACCCTACCTAGATGAAGTTTCAATGTGTGTTTGTGATAAACAACATAGTTGTGTTTTCGCTGTCTGTTATAAACTATTTTTAAGGGTTGTCAGAAGGTTCATCTCTATCCCCTCTGACCGATGATCTTGATGAGGTTGCAAACACGCTGATTGGTGGAAAACTGAGCAAGTAGCTTGTTCCCTGGCTCTTTGTGAAAAGTTTCACCCCTCAGGCGAACGCTTTATAGAAAATTGGTGCATCAAATTGGACACCCACTTCGCATAAGCATTATATTACTCCTACCCCAAGCACGGGTCATTTTTCGTGTCCTTAGCGGTGTTCAGTTCGACCTTGGATCAATTATCTTTGACACTATGGTGGTCTTTGCTGAAATCTCCAAACCTCACAAGTTTTTGCTTTTTCCATCTACTATCTATGCCATTTTAATCAAGGCAGGAGAAAAATGTACCCTCGTGTGAGTGATAGCTTGTCTCCTGCTCTAAAACCTCTTGCACTTTATGGGGTGAAGTCTGCTCCTTTTCGCCCATCCTTGGTGAAAGCTTTTGAAGTTCCTTCATAGCTACGTGGGTTTCTTAACCAACAGGTGGCAGTTCTCTCTGAACTTGAGAAGAGGCTTGCAGACCAACATAGGTATTATAAGGAGGTTCTGGGTGCGATGAACTCACGAGCTCCTTTGGTATCTAAATCAAAAAAATGGGAGATCAACAGAGCGGCTGGTAATAAGGGGGAAAAGATGAAAGTACTTGTTGGAAGTAAGGGGAGAAGTCAAAGGCTGTTGCTGCTACCACGGCCAAGGGAAAGGAAAAAGTTGTTGCTGCCAAAGAAAATGAGAAGGTTGTTGAGTCTGAAGAAGGTTCAGATGCTGAGGAAGATGAGGATGGCTCAGATGTTGAGGATGAGGAAGAAGATGCTACTTCAGAGGAAAACACTGAAGCTGGATCTGAAGAAGGTTCTGCTGATGAAGAGGCTGAGGACGAAGAGTCTGCTTAGACTCTTCAGCTAGATATTTGATTGCGTATTGTTAAACTATAAACTATTTGATATGTGTATTGGTTGGCTGAACAATTTGTTTTCTGCTTTGCTTTTGGTTGGTCCGTAGAAATTATCTTAACCTGTGAATTGTTTATATGTTTTGAAATATTCAGGTGGTTAAGTTGTTCATATGAACAACATATTTGTGACGTGATAAGTATGCCTTGAGTTAGTGTATATGTTGTAGGAAATGTCTTTTTGCATGTAGGTTCAAGATGTGTTTTCGATTTATCTGCCAAAAGGGGAGATTGTAAGTTCTGAAGATTGGCAGTAAATCGAAGAACCTTCATGAGTTCCCAAGTTCAGACAACACAAGAATATTTATGGAAATTGACTTGATCACTTGGACTTATTTTTAATTGGGACAGTTTATTGATAATATGTATTTATTATGGCAGGTCTATTGGAAGGAAGTCAGGATCCACCTTCTATATGTGTGAGATGATAATCGTAGACTTGGACCCAAAAGAAAGACCTGCCATAAGTAAACATGACTTGGAGGCAAATTTAGGTGCGAGACTTACCATACGGAGACTAAAGTTAAAAGGACGACGAGACGCATTGTGAGGCTGACTTTTGATCGTGGTTTTGTTTGAGGAAATCTGATATTCACTTTTGTTAATTTTGATTGACTTGGATCTTTATTTTATTTTGTGTGAAGTGATCGAAAGTGGGGAGTTTTATTGTGAGAGATAGAACAGAATGTACGGAGGTTCATTCTGTGTAGTTTGAAGGAGTCAAACACGAAAAACCACAAGGAATTTGTAGTCGGATAAGTAGTAGTGAAAATCATTGTTCAAGTAGAGTGTAGAGGGAGTCTATATTGTAACCCTTGAAGAATGTATGTGGTGTTTGCATTAATGAAAGAGATCCGAATGGAGAGTGGGACGCTCTCCTGAAGGTTCAATTTCCAGTTATACTGCTTCCACAATTGTTTGAATCTTCTTTTAATTCTGTTTGATTAAATTGTATGCAACTCTGGGTACTTGTGATACAAGTATCAAATTACATAGTTGTGTACTCACCCCCCACAATTATCATTTTCAGGTTAGCAGCAGGTGGGGACTCAAGCGGCATGTGGTGGTCATATTCATATTATGCAGTTTATAGTTTCGCATTGAACAATTTTATTTCCGAACATGTTGTTTTCAGTTGTTATGAACATTGTTTCGATTATCAATTCAGTATTTCTATTCAGTTTATAGACTAGTACTCATACCCTCTGCTATGTCTAAGTTGAATTGATCAGCTAGTAAGTTTCGGGAGCGAGATGCCTGGAAACTTAAAAAGGGGAACCAAGAAGGCCGAGTCGATGGATGAGGTTGAGGTCATCTTCATCGACGAAGAGACGTGCCAGAAACAACTCTGAATCGGGAGTAAGCTGTCGGAGCCACTGAAAGCCGAGCTGACGAAATTCCTCCAGGAAAATGCCGACGTGTTCGTGTGGATGCATGAGGACATGGTCGGCATCGACCCGCGGGTTGCCTGCCATAGACGACCCTAAGATCAGCCTTTTTTTAAAAAAAAATATGTTAATTGTTTTTTAATAAGTTCGAAATTATTTCAAAAAACACAGACGTTTTCAAAGTATAAGTCGAGGGTGCTTACATTTTTTTGAACGTCTGATAGCATCCTAATCTAAATCTCCAAAACTTCTTCTGTAAAGTTCCCCTCGCTTACACATCAAAACCTTCACCCTTCTTTTTTGAGTTTAGAAAGGACCAATTGAAAACCATATATAAATGTCACTTCTTTTGCCCATCTAATAGCTTCCACATCACTATCCAATATATTCAATTTATAGAAAGCAGCACTATAATCATTACCATCTCCTCCAAAATATTCAAATGGCTGATGCAATATATTCTGGTGTTATTAATTTTACAAGATAATCAATTATAATTTATAACATAAAAATTTCTAAGGTCTAACATCCTCCCTATATATAATTCCCGAATGCGCTGAGCCTACGTGGCTGCTTCTGGTGCTTCGGAATCCTATTTTGCGAAAAATCATGCTTCGTAATTAGGTTTGGATCAATAATATTGATATATTAATAATTAATAATCTAGGTTCGGGTATTCCATAAATATTATTTAGCTAACTTAGGTATTTTAATATCACTTTTACTAATATAACCCTTTAATTCTTTGTAATTTTACATAGTGAGGCACTAAGTGACTAATATATTCCTGAATTTTGATTTGTTTCCTTCAATAAGCTATTGAATTATAAATGTATTTTAAAAGTTAATAACTTTTGTATTTCTTATCGATTTTACATATATAATATATCAAATTAATCATCTTTTGATGATCTTCGATTTGACATCCATATTGTATATATGAAATAAATAAATTATATTTATCTTATAATAATAAATAATAATATTTATTAAAATTCATTAGAAAAATAAAAGTATTTCTCAATTGATATATTTATGTTTAATATAGTTATATGTTGTAAGTTAAAAAAATTATCATAATATAACACAGTAAGTTGCACAAATAAAAAGTGTCATACTAAATAAATAAAAATATATATACTTTTATAAAAGGTATTTAAATTTTCAACTATTTTTTCTCATTAATTTTAGATTCTAAGAAAATAATTAGCAAGCACCTGTGTAATACACGGGTGTTCTACTAGTACTAATAATAAATTATAATTTATAAAATAATCTAATAATAATTACTAATATAATTTTTTTTCTACATTCTAAGTTCTAATTTATAATATAATCTATATAATCTATATAATTACTAATATAATTTTTTTCTAAAATCTAATTTATAATTTATAAGAAAACTATTTCTAATCCATCTCAAACATAATAATTTCTACTAATATACTTATTTTCTACATTCAAAGTTCTGATTTATATTCTATCGTTTCGAAAAAAAATAGTTATAATTTATAAGATAATCAATTCTAATCTATTAAACAATAATAATTTTCATCTTCTAACGTAATAGTAATAATTCTAATTTATAAGATAATCAATTCTAATTTATTAAAAAAATAATAATTTCTAACTTATAACATAATAGTAATAAATTCTAATATATATATATATATAT